CCCCGCCCCGCCCCGCCTCGCACGCCCGCGGCTGGAGCGCGTCTCCGCCGGGCCGCGCCTGTGCACGAGAAAGCGCGCCTCGGCGCGGGGACGCGCGCCGGGGAGAACCCGAGCAAGATGGAGGCCGCGCCGAGGCCGCCTCCTGGGCCGTGGCAGCCGCTCCTGGGAGCGTCGGGCCGCGGCGCCTAGGCCGTGCCAGTCCCGGACCCGCTGCCCCGGACCGGGCCCAGGTTGGTCTCCCCGCACCTGCTCCCCGTGGCTGCAGTCTCCGCGTGCGTCTGGCCTGGGCGCGGGGCAGCCGCCCCCCAATCCCAGGCCCTACCTGGGCCCGGCCGCTCCCCAGCGCCCTGGGGAAAGCCCCTGCCTAGCGCCTGCTCCTCGCGGCCCCGGCTGCCTGCTGGCCCTGGTCCCTCGTTCCTTTGGCCTGGAAAATCTCTCTCCCCAGCCCCGGCCCGCCAGTCCGAGGCTCCCCTCAGCCCTGTGTTCTGAGGGACCCCCCAACACCCTACCCCGTGTTCAGACCCTGCAGTCCCAGCCCCCGACTTCCCTCGAGCCTCATCCTGATGCCTTCGCTTCGCCCTCCCTGTCACAGCCCCCATATCACCTTCCCAGTCCATTTCCAGTCCCTTATAGCCCCTTCTTACTTCCTCATAGAAGCGCCCACCGCCTCTCTACAGCCCCTTTGTAGACACCCAATACCAGACCTTTTCCCCCTAATACCAGCTCCAAAATTCCTTCCCAGGCTCCCTATATTCAGCCACTTTGCTAATCCTCCAATACTGTTCCCTAGCCTTCATCCCATCTCCTGATGCTTCCCCTCCTACTTCCCCAGTACCAGCCCTCAAGCCCCCTCCTCAAGTCTCCCATGACCACTTTCTAGTCTCTTCCCCACTGTCAGTTCGCGTATTCTCATCCCAGCCCCCCAACTTTCACATGGCCTCCTCCTAGGTCCCTCCATTAGAGATCTTTGCCAGTCCCCCCCAGACACCACCCCAGCATTCTCATGAACCCCTCCTAGTTCTTCCAATACCAGCCCCCAGGGCTCTCCAGGCCCTGCCTTCGAGAGTTCCTTGGCTCAGGGCCCCTTCTCGCGTGCGTCCCCAGCTCCCGCCCAGCAGCCCGGCGGTCGGTCCCGGGCCGGCGGCCCCCGCCAGCCACAGCCGCCGCCGGCCCCGCCCCCGGGCACCATGCTGCCCTCGCAGGAGGCCTCCAAGCTCTACCACGAGCACTACATGCGGAACTCGCGGGCCATCGGCGTGCTATGGGCCATCTTCACCATCTGCTTCGCCATCATCAACGTCGTGGTCTTCATCCAGCCCTACTGGGTGGGCGACAGCGTGAGCACCCCCAAGCCTGGCTACTTCGGCCTCTTCCACTACTGTGTGGGCAGCGGGCTGGCGGGCCGCGAGCTCACGTGCCGCGGCTCGTTCACCGACTTCAGCACCATCCCGTCCGGCGCCTTCAAGGCGGCCGCTTTCTTCGTGCTGCTCTCCATGGTGCTGATCCTCGGCTGCATCACCTGCTTTGCGCTTTTCTTCTTCTGCAACACGGCCACCGTCTACAAAATCTGCGCCTGGATGCAGCTCTTGGCAGGTAGGGGAGGGGTGGGAGTGGGACCCCTAAAGCGGGCGCGAGGGACGGGATATTCTTCTTTCCAGGACCCTTTCTTAGAGGTGTCAGAGTTAGATTCTGTTCCTTTAAGGACATACCTCCTTGGCTGTTCCTCAACAGCCACTGGGGAGGGGATTCTGTTAGAGAGAGAGAGAGAGACGCCTTGAGACAGGGGCCAGAGCCTTAGAACTGGGTCTTTGGGTCTGTGTAACTGGATATGAGCAGACTGCATTTGTTGATGAATTAGCATTCTGTTAGATCCTGTGAGGGTCTCTTGAGAGTATCTGTTGGCAGTCTTAGGGGAAATAATTATCTGACTGAGGAGTTACTCTTAGTGTGAACAGTTTCTGTTGTATTGAAAAAAAGGTGAAGTGAGGAATAAAGAGAGCTGACTTTGACCTTTAACGTGCAAACATTATCAACTTGAGTGTTTTGCTTTACTTCTCTAAAGCTCAGTTTTCTCATCTGCCAAACAGTGGAGGGGATTCCAAGAACAAATGAAAGAGTACCTTGTAAACTTTAAAGTGCATTGATAAGATAAAGAAAGGTAGAAAGAGGTTGTCTATAGTGTCTAACCAATGTTCGAAATGTGGGTGGATAGCACCTGCCAACAGGAGTATGTTTAGGGCAGGTCTCCATCCCTACCCAGCCAGTGCAGGAAGGGATCTGGTAATATGTCCAATGGGAATTAGTCCTGGGGCCTTCTGAAATGTTTGGCTAAGATGGACATCTTGCCCTGAGAACCATAGAAGAGCCTGGGGAATGAGAACAGCTGAAACAGTTTTCCATGATGCATTAGAGTCCCCCATCCTCGCCTGCTTTTTGAGCAAAGACATATTTTGCAGATTCAGCAACTTGGGCATTTGCTTAATTGCAGTCAGGGAAGAGAGTTGGCCAGGGGAAAGTGAGGCCAGGGCATGGCAGCTATAGGGGAGGAGGGTTGGTGAAGGCTAGGAGAAAGTTCGGAGGCCTCCAGGGATGAGAAAGAGAAGGGAAAATGTGATGATCATCAGCAGAAATAGTTTTTTAAATAAGCATCTCAGAGCAATTCAACAAGTGCGGGGCCCCTTTAAAAGAGACCCCCTGGAGGAGGTGTTATAGCACTTGCTGATAATTCCACTTTTAAAAATATTGTAGGGAATTCTTTTTGGAGCGTGGAGTATATTTTCTTGAACATCATTATTGAGGGGAACCCCCATCTTTTAAAGTAGGAATATGATTTTTGGAGATGGCTGGAGGTCACTTGGCCACATGTAGAAAATATGATGAATGATTAAATTGAGAATTGTCACTTAGGATGAAAGCAAAGATTTGAGGGCAAAATCATGAGGCCGGTTTGCTTAGCTAAGAGGACTTTTACAGATGCAGAGAGGAATTACTGCCCAAACTCCCAAAAGTGCTACTTTGAAGAAGGCAGTGTTCATTCATATGCAGACATTCTAATGGGCTTGTTTCAAATCAATCTCACTTAAATCAACTTATATGTGGGTATTTTAGGATCTTTGAAGATGAGAAAGAAGAATTGTAAGATGTGGGGGGTATCTCTCCATATCTCTCAGTGGTACCTAGAAGGTGATTTTATGTATTTCCATTCTATTCTTCCAAAGGCAAGCTGGAAAGAATACATGCTCAGCTGGAATCCCTAATTTGTCAACCTTAATTTAAAGTCTGCAAATGGTAGTAGACCTCTTGGTCTTCCAATTCTCTATAATCCTGGTGTGTTTAATCTTGTGGATTTGATGACCTGTCCAAAAACTCCCATGGAATTATACCATGGAATTATAGAATTTCAGGGATCTTAGAGATCAGTTCCTTCAAATCTCACCTTCCCCTCCCCCATTTTAGAGAGAGGAGACAGAGATTAGAGAAAAGGTCTTACCCCAAGTCACACAGCCAGTAACGGAGTAAACTCCATCTTGAATCCTGGCCCAGTGCTCTTTCCCTTGTGTTATTGCCCTACCCCTGAAGGCTGAGGGGGACAGTTTGCAGACTTGAGCAGTTCCATTTTGCTTAGGGATTTCTGAGTTCTCTGGATAAGTGACTGATTCACTCTGATTAATAAAGTGACACCAGAACAGAGGCCAGAGCATGGGATGGGGGCCCTGGCTGACTCTACCTGTGACTCACCATGCAGTGATAAGCAATTCTTTTTAGCTTATATCTCAGTTTTCTCATCTTTATAATGGGAAACTAATCAATTACATTAGTGGATTGAAAGTATCTCTTTCAACCCTGTAGGGCTCTTTGAACAACTCTTTCACCAAGGTCATTTCATTCAGAAAGTGAGAAATCAGTCTTTATCAGGACGTTGTTTATATCAGATAAGAATTAAAATGTCTGTTGTATGGTTCTTGATCAAGTGATCTTTTAGTCAAGTATTTCTGAATCTTTAAGTGCAAAGCACTGGACCATTGGGAAAATACAGAGAGATACTTATTCCTTTGTTTATTCCTCACCTGCTCTGTGATCATCCCTAAGCTTGGTGCTATAATACTGGGATCACCCTTGTTCCCAAGGATCTTAGGTCTATAAAATGCCATCCCTGCTCTCAGGAACTATACCATTTAATTGAGTCACTTTATTGGTCAGCAGTCTTTTAGAGGCAAGTAACAAACCTCCAACTCAAACTGACTTAAATAAAATAAGCTAAGAGGGTAGACTTTCACATACCTTGAAAATCAAGAGTATCTTGCTTTAGGCAACATGATGGATCCAGATGCTGGAATAATGCCATTAAGAATAGGTCTCTCTCCATTTCTTGATTGCTCTGTGTTGGCTCATTTTAGGTCCACTTCTCTCTTGAAGGTGACAAATAAGGCTTCAGCTTAGCAATAACTGTGGGAAAAGAACACCTGTGACTCAATGGTTCCAGCAAAAGTTCTCAGGCTGATTCTCTTTGGATCAGTTTTGGTCAAGTGTCCTCCTCTTAATTAATCTGAGGCCTCAGCTCCATGCCCATCCCAGGAACACATGGACTGATAGTAGAGAAAGGTCAATTCCCATAAAGGGAAATCAAGTGTGATTACTGGAAGAAGGGAGTAGTAGTTAAGACAGGTGCAGACAGAGGCCTCACCCTGGACAGTCCGAGCACCAGTATGTGCTGGGCTGTGGAAACCCAGGGCAATGGACGAGGCTGCCAGCTTAGTTGGGCAGTGAGGCTTGAGTGGGAGGTGAGGGTCCACACCTCCCAGGTGGGAGACATGGAAGAGCTTTCTGAGTGGAGAGGAAGACCATGCACAGAGATATAGTAGTGAGAAGGCCACATCTGGCTTTAGTGTGAATTCACATAGGGCAGCTGAGGGAGGAGAAGATAGGAAGAAATTATGGGGCCAAAATATGCAAGGCTTTGAATACTGGGACAAGGAATTTGGACTTTAATCAGCTAGCAGTTCAAAGGTACTACTACTGTTATTATTATTCAGCAAAAATGGTTAACATTTTCTGAGCTTTTACTATATGCTCAACCATGTGCTAAACATTTACCTGCATACTATTATTTAATCCTCACAACAATCCTATGGAAGGGGCACCATTAATGGAGTACCACGAGAAGACAGCCTCAAAGAAGAGAGAGCCATTTGTTCAAGGCCACACAGGTGGCAGGTGGTACAGCCAAGACTGTAACTTGGTCTGACTCTAAAGCCCAAGGATTTATGAAGGGTTTCTAAAGGGGCATTAACGATGGGGATAGTGGCAGGATGTTTTGTCAGAAGAGCTGAATGCTAAGTAGAGGGGCTGGAAGATCCAGGTGGCTCCTTTGGGAGTTAGTTTCTGGGCTTCTCGGGGATATTCCTGCTACTGTTTCCCTGGTTGTTTCCGTTTAGTGAGAACACACAATGGGCCAGCTTCTATGCTAGACATTCTTCAGTTCATTGTGTCATTTAATTATCTGTTAAAGTGGCTTGCCCAAAGATCACACAAAGTAGAAGGTGGAGGTGAAACTTAATGTAAGTCTAAGTGAATCTAGAACCTATTCTTACCACTGAACTGGAACTCAGGACATGAATACACAAATTACAAGTTATGGCTGTAAGCTCTATGTACTCAATGTTTACCTGTGGGTGAGGTTAGCCAAGAGAGGATGCTGCTGGAGTAGAGACTCAGGCTGGAAACTCAGAATGCCCTCCATGCCACTTCCCAACTGCATGGCCTTGGATAAGTGGGTTTTCCTTCCTGAGTCTCAGTTTCCCTATCTGTAAAATGGGGATTATTATTGTACTTCCTCATAAGTGGTAGAAAGAAATGATGGGTGTAAAATGCTGAGTATGGTCCCTAGTGTACAGTAAGCCCTAAATAAATGGCCACTCTTTTTCTGTTATATCCTGTTAGTCTGAATAAAAAGCAGCTTGTGAGGAGTCCTCAGTGCTCAGGTGGAAGAGTTTGACTTTCTAGAATGATCGAAGGCTTTGAGAAGTCATCAACTGTCAGCTGGAAAGGGTCTTTCCAATCAGTTGGTCCAGCTCCCTCATTTTGCAGGTGAAAAGACTGAATCCTAGAGAGAAGAGACAAGTTCATGATTACAAAGTGGAACTCCTCTAGCCACAGAAGGGAGATGATTCTGACCACAATTCATTCAATACTGAGTGCCTACTATGTGCCCTGGTGCTGGAGTCATAGCAGAGAACAGAATGTGGGACATGGAGTGGGCACTGGAGAGAGTGAAGGGAGCAGAAGGGGGTTGGTTGGTGATCCCGAGGTGAGCATCATCCAGCCTTCCTAATGTGTGTCCTTGAATCAGTGGGGATCTCTGGGCTAAGAGCAGCAATGTTCCTATATCATAGAATATGCATCCACATTCCTTCCCATTTCCTTGGGGGTTTGTGTCACGTTTGGATTGGAATTTTATTTCCCCTGTAAGTCTTTGTTGTGTGTATGACACTGCTGAGCACAGTGGGGGGATTTCTTTCTTCCCTTCCTCATTTTCCTTCTTCTGCCAACTCTCCCTTCCTTGCATTTTTGCCTTCCTTCCTCTCTCCCTACTC